TTAATATTAATACTAATGATATTATTTATTTCTACTCAGTAACGCTGTGCCCTTTACCTTATCTCATTTAATCTTTACAGCCTCCTGAAGAAACTGGTATTCACCTCTCAAAGATAATAAGTGTAGAGATTTAGCCAAGTAAATTGCTTGTCAGTGCAGTCAGTAGAAAAGCTGGAATTTGAATCCAGGACCTTCTAATGCCTAAGTCCAGGCTCTTGAACCAGGCATCTCAGGGGACTTGGGGGTGGAACTGAAGAACTGTAGAATGAAAGACTAGATAGAGAAGCCAGGAGGCATTTCTTAGCTGTAATTAGAAGTAAAGATGGGGGGACTGGTGAAGTGGCTCAAGTGGCAGAGCGCCTACCTAGCAAGCAGGAGGCTCTGAGTTCAAGCCCCAGTGCCGCCAAAAAAAAAAAAAAAAAAGTAAAGATGGGAGCATCCTCTACTCTTTGACCTGATCCTCTAAACCTGGGCAGAACCCTGCAACCTTGGATTATGATTGCCTTTCCACCCGTCTTTCTTCTCTGGAAAGCAGATATCATGCAGGTTACCCAAGAGCCACCAGGCAAATAACCATAACCAGTGGTCCCTAAAAAGTCCCATCCAGAGATGTGCCTGAGGGACACCTGAGTGTGTGTGTGTGTGTGTTGGGAGAAGAGGGGCTATTCTACACTGACACTCACAGACATGGTCCATTAATAATAAACTCTGTTGTGGCTTGTAAATTTATTAGGAGAACTGGGTGTAATTAAAATTCAGGGTTGGGGAGAGGGCCTTTGCTTCCTCTCCTTCTTTAGAGATCCAGGCTGAGCTACCAATGGGGATAATTAGCAGAGTCCAAACAGAGAAGGAATTAATGCTCCTGAAAAAGCTGTGACGGGTAGAGACAATGCCGAGCTAATTATGGCTGCACCCAGCTTTATGACTGGGTGCCTGCTTCCACCATCATTAGGGGATTCAGAGATGGATCGGAGACTAATGTGGAGTGTTATAGCTAACAGAGCATTGGTACTAATTTAGCAATTATTAGGATTATTATTTTGGCAGATGGTAACTGTACCTTTCTGGATGACTGATCAGAATATGTGGCCCCTCTGAATGGGGGATTAAGACTGGTGTGATGGAGGGAAAGGCAGATAGAAAGACAGACAGAGTCTCTTCCCTCTGTGCTCCTCTCCCATGTTTATACCTGCAACTAGTGAGAGAAGGTGTGGGTTCTTGGGGAGTAACAAAAACAGTTCAGTGTCCATAAGAGAGAGATGAGGTGTCATTATAGTTGGAGTGTCCAAATCTGGATTCCCCCTCACCTCTGCTGTCGCACTGTACCTACTAAGAATGACCCAGTCCTTAGAGGTTTCTTTTCCTGAGTAAGAATGGCAGGAGTGCCACCTCCTTCCATCAGAACTTCTCTTACACAGACCCTAAAGAAAAATGACCTGACAACCCTACACAGACCCTAAAGAAACCTGACCTGATCTAAATGCCTCAAAGCCAGCCACACATTTCACCCCCAGTTCTGTGGACAGGAAGGCTGAAATCAAATTAGAACAGTTAGAAATGAAGGAACTTTTGTAGAGAACTTGAAGGGAAGAAGGGCACTGGAATTGTCAGCCTTGCTGGAAGTTGCCACAGTCACAGGGAGAAGAGACCTTCTAAAAACATCTAGAATTTAAGGGCTCTACAATTCCTAGATACTGGACCTTGTTTCAAGAATCTTAAAGTACAAAAGCACTAGAATCAGAACCCATCCTATGGATTCTTCAGGATTGTACATTGTGCCTTCCCTCCAAGAAGGCAAAATCTGCAGAATTCCTTCCTTCCTAAGAAGGAGGGAGGGAGTGGCTGGTTATTCAGCAGTAGAAATGGAACTCTGTGTTTTAGTGAAATGTGCATTTAGTTTTCCATCACACACATAGGAAAAACATCCTCTGTGTTGCAAAAGGCCAACTTCAAAGCCAGGTGGCTGAATCACAGAATGTCTCCAGAATCAGTAAAGCTAACAAATGTCACATACATCTCACAGGTAAACTGGGAAAAACCACTCCTGGCTGCTAGCCGGGAACAGAGGGGTAGGGTGGCAGGGCAGCTTGTCAGGTTCCTGCATTTTCCGGAACACCTCTGAATCTCTGCTTCCTACTTTAAGCCCCAAATTCACACTGCCCACACCTCTCCCCCTTACATTGGCCTATGGAAAAATTTCATTTACCATCACAAGGCGAAAGCTACAAGGAAAGGTGGAAGAGTTGGGGGTGGGGTATCTTAAGGAGGAAAGCAAACCTTTGGAGTTTTTAAAGAAAAAGAGGAATTCACTTTTAGTTGGGACAGTTTGCGGAGAGGTGTTTCCCAGGTGGGGTCTGATTAACAGATTCCCAGTGTACCTCCCAGCACAGATCCTGGCCTGTGGAGGGTCTCAGTAAATGTTAGCGAATTCTGGATCTCAGTTGTCTAGAAATCTCATGAGCTAGAGACTTGGAACCAGAGGAAGACGAGGAAAAACATAAAATGGAAAAGGAAGCTGGGCAGGCACTACCCGCTTGCATTTTTCATAACTGCAGATGAAAAGATCTAGCATTTCTCTGGCTAGAGAGTCTGGACTCAAGCAGATGCAAAGAGCAGGAGATGGGACTCCTGGGACCCTGGCCCTGAACACATCTCCCCAGCCCCTGTGCTCATCTAAATCCCCAAGGTCTCAAAGTCATCTCAATCACTCTCTTTTGCTATGATCTTGGGTCTCCTCTCTCTGTCCCCCATCCCTTTCAGCTTCCCAGTTTGGTGCCTGTGCTTTCTTTCTGTGGCTTGTGACTCAGCAGCCAAAGTTAAAGTCCCTAGGGCTGACAACTCAAACTTGCCTTCTGAATCAGCCTGCAGGGAAGGCATACTGATTCATTCGGGCCCCTGGATCTCTCCCCCAGGCTCACTTCCAGGCTTCGCTTACCCTCAACCTGGCCATTCAGACACCTGTCCATCCACACTAAAGGGTATCTCTCTGGAGTCAAACACTAGGGCCTCCCCCAAGCAAGATGTGCCACACATATACACACACCCAGCAACCTCAACAGCGACCTGGAGCACTTCTATCCTGGACAGCAGCTTCCATCCCAGGTAAAACTCGACAGGTGCATTCTCACCCTCCAGGCTCCAAGGAGTTGGGACCAGCATTAAGGCTCCACTAAAATGGATCATGGGAAAAAAGATGGAAGGAAACAAGGGAGTGGGAGGAGGACAGGAAGCGACTCTTTGACTTGGGGAAAATTGTGTCTGGTGTGTATGGGGAGTTGGGTATCATAGAAGTGGGCGACACTAGAGAACCAGAGTCTAATAATACCCTCCGGGCCTGATCTGTTCTGAGAATCTCCACGAGGGAGATTTTCATAGAAAGTTCTTTTTTATGTCCAATCTTGGTCTCTTCTGCAGCAATCAACCCATTGATTAAATATTGCAGGGCCAGAAAGAGCAGCGCCCCCTACGACTCCCACAAGCTTGAGGTGGGCTCCACTCACCCCAAGACTGGATACAGTCCCCTCACACATAAGCTCCCCCCTTGCTGTCTATCACTCCCCCAAAGGCTCTACTACTAACCCGGTATCTACCTCTGTCTTTGACCTTTAACCTTAAGTGAAAACAAGGGTCTGGAACCTGCAGCCGCTGTAGAAGCTTACCCCACTTGTACCTGCTCCCGGAACCGCGGCTCCTGTTCTTGCCACTTGTCCCTCGAAAGGCCCATGGGGAACAATTTCCCGCCTCTGGCGGCCCAGTTCTCCCTTGACCGCGCCAGCAGTGCGGGAACCACCAGGTGACTCCCCGCGTACTCCTAGGCCCAGTACCACTGGGGTCGGAGTCGGGGTGGGGGACAAGGACAGGAGGAGTCTGCGGAGCCCCCAGGGAACCCCATCGCCGAAGTCCCTGCAGGTTCTCCCCACCCCCACTCCGCATTCTCTCCGGGCCTTGCAACTGCCCCCAGCCCCTCCCCCCCGGTACTCGCCCTCGCCTGGGACCCTCCAGACATGGGGACAAAGAAGCCCCACTGCGGCGGGCGAGCTTGGCCGCAGGGCACTGGTGCAGCAGGTAAATGCTCGGGGCCGGCCGGCTGCCACGCCGCCGACCCTCCCGCCAGGGCGCGACACGCCATTCCCGCTGTCGCGACTCCCGGGAGACGTCGCAGCCGCACGCCGGGCCCCGGCCCCGCGGGGCTCGGGCTCGGGACTCACCGGCTCCGGCGAGCTCGACTCGGCTCGGGCCACCGTCACGACTCGGCGGCGGCCGGGGGGCTGCGCCCCGCGCAGGGTCCGCGCGGCTCGGGCAGGAGGCGCCCTCTTGGCAAAGTCGGCGAGAGGCACCGGCTCAGTTGCGCACCCGCCCCGAGTCGGAGTGAGTCAGAGGGAGACCGAGGGAACGAGTTATAGGGGCGCAGGGGGCGGAGGAAGGGGGGAGAGCGCCACGACACCCTCTCGCATCGCGCCCCCCGCCCCCCAGCGGAGACGCAGACAGCCACTCGTAGCCAAGAGCCACCCGGACACAAAGACCTCGTGCCAGCCGCAGATCCAAGTTTCTCCCAAACCCAGGGGGCTCGGCCCGCGTTCCCAAGACAGCAGACTAATCGACCGACAGAGCGACTGATAGACCCTAGGACCTGACACTCCAAAGAAGAGCCAGGATGTCCCCTTCTCCCGCTCAACCCAAAGACCCCATCCCCTGGCAGATCGCCGAGATACGCGAGGGAAACTGAGGTCTGGCATCTCGGGAGCCCCGCTTTCCGCCCGGGTTCTCGCAATAGTTACACGAGAGTGGCAAAGGGCTTCTCTGTCTCCTGGGTCCCCTTCTGCTCTCTCCTTGCCCCTGAGGGTGGTGGGCCAGGGGATTGGTTTAGGTTGGTTGCGAAGCCAGAATCCCAGGCTGGAGTTCTCGTTCTAGGTTCCGTGGCTCTTGGGACTGGCGCACTGGGGAGCGGAGACCTCCAGGATGAGCATCCAGGAAGGGAGGGGGCCCGGGTCTCCGGTTACCTGAGTCGGCCGCGCTGGGACGCTGCTCTGGGGGCTGCAGCTCGAAGCTCCGACAAGTCTCCACGTCCAGCCCGAGAGGGGGCGGCCGGGCCCGGCACAGCGAGGCCAGGACCGCGAGCGCCGCCTGGCACCGAGGCCCTCCGGTCCCCCCCACCCCACTCATGCCCCGGACACCCAGGCCTTCCAGGAGCCCCTCGAACCCGCGGCCGCACTAGGGCGGGGTAAGGCGGTCCCAAGAAGACCCTCCCCGCAGCGGCCCCCTGCGGCTCCGCTCTGCTTTTAATCACTTCCCCGCAGGGTCCCCGCCCCTCACGTGGCATCCCGCGGCAGCTGGCAAGTCTGGCGCCTTATGGCCGCCCCCTCTACACACTCAGGGACTGGCCCAAGTCCGGGAGGGTTCCAATCCCACTATCCCGAACCTTGGAGGGTGCAAGGCCAGGAACAGAGCTCAGGTTCAATTCCACATTCACTGGTGTTGACCTTGGGCCTCTCCGAGCCTCAGTTTGCCTCTCCGTAAAAGAGGTATGATGATTATGAGTGTTTCATGGGTTCACTGGGAATATAAGTGTAGTGCTTGAGAAAACACTGGGTAAACCGCCACATGCCACACGAGTGACAACAAAATAACCCAATAACAGGAGAAAAAAAAAAAAAGGATGACCCGACTGCAGGTGGGAGGACGTTAGCCGAGGTTCCTGATGGCAGAAGTTAGTCAGACTTGTCCCAAGTCCCACCTTCAGAGGTAGAAGATCCCAAGACTGCGGAGCGTTGAGAACTGGAAAGAAGACTTTGCCCCGCAATCCTGCGGTCCGCGGTACCCTCACGTTGCCATGGTGACTGGAGGCAGCGGCCGTCTCTCTCCATGGCAACGGGAGGGGAAAGTTTCTGGTGAATAGGATTGGGGGGGGGCATTTCAAGAGGATTCTTGGTTCCCGCCAGACCCACATTCCCGCATCAGCACAACCCCATGAAATAATCTTTTTATATCAAGCTTAACAAGGGTTAGACTTAAAAAGAGCTCCCTTCAGAAAGTGTGGGGTGAGGCCCAGAAGGAGGCTGGCAGTCCTGAAATTCTTTGTGCTATCACTGGTCACGGGGGCACTTAGGGTCCTATCACTGGGGTCTCCTGTCCACTTGTCACCCGTGAGGCCTCTTTTAAGCTCCAGACTCAGGTTTGGGAGTTGAGAAGGAAACTTTAGCTGGAGCCTCCGCAAACCTGGGGCTGGTGTGTGCCCGGTGGGCGTTGGGGGAAGAGGGTCTTTCCTCTTAATTAACACGCAAATTGGAAGTGGCTCTGGCTGTGACTCACGTTCCGGGGGGAGGAGATTCGGAACCCCAGCTCCTGGTGATCTCCACAGTGCACCTTCTGCGTCAGCCGCGCTAGCCGGCCCCTTTGCTAGAGAGCCCCAGGCAGCCTAGTGCCCATGACATCAAGGGCCAGGCGGAGGCCAGAGAGGACTTTGGCCTACCGGGGAGGTTTTTCTGCCCAGGATGTACGTCTTGCTCTGTCCACGGTGCTGAAAGTCCAGCTAGTGCAACCATCGCGTGGGCACCGGGTTGAGGGTGTGTGTGACAATTGTTGCAGGTTTGCCCCCTTATACCCTGGTGCCTGCCATTGGAAAAGGTCTAGAAACTCGGACGTGAGGGACTGGCGTGGGAACACTATGCAATCTAGACCACCTTCCTGCGGGTAGTGCTGGGTTGCTGTTCCAAGAACAGGTAAGGTTCTCAAAGCCCACTTAAGGAGCCCGGAAGCCCCATCACCACCCAATGCAGATCTCAGCACCCTGGGGAGACAGGTGCCAGGAGGCCTCTGGCTAAACGCTCATTAGCAGTTTCCAAAGCGGCGGATTTGTGTTTATGTAAAACACGAATGGAGACGAACTGCTCTCTGCCCGTGTTTATGGCAACTCTGTCACTCCGCGGCGATCTGTCCCTCCCCCTCTCGAGTTCCTGAGGAAATTCGCAGAACAAAGCGCCTTGTTTTGCCGTTGCAGAGAATAAAAAAAAAAACACAGGACTGTTCCAAGGGCCCAGGCCTGTGATGCAGGGAAATCAATATTTTGCTTACATCGAGTGGGGGAATTTGCATCTAAACCGAACCCTAAAGGAGCCTGTTCAGAGCAGAGCAGGTGGCAGGAGCTGAGAATTAACAGATAATTTCTCATTGTTCCCGGATTCAGCCTCCACACGCGGCAGGCGGTTCTGCAGCGTCTCTGGCGGGCTGGTGCAGCAGCTCCGGACCTGGCATTTCTCAACCTAACAGAGCAAAGGAGGTTTTGCCCTGACAGGGATGCAGGAAGGGGTTGGAGCTCCGGGGCTTCTATTGAATTTGGAGCTCAGGAGTGAGGGTGTGTGAAAGACAGAGACATTGACAAGAGAAAGAGAGACAGAGGAGACAGAGAGTAGTAGGAGACAGAGGGAAACAGAGACAGACAGACACACTTATAGACACATTTGGAAAAGACACTAAAACATTTTTTTCTTACATTAAGATAAAGCTTCACCCTCATTGTCCTCTTCACCTGCCCCCTTCCATCAGTTGCTGATACCATGGTGGTCACATGACCAACAGCAAAGCAGGAAAAAAAAATCCTCATGTAAAGACAATAACTTTTCTTTTCCAAAGCCCCTTTCCCCCCCAAGTCCAGCCCCCCACCCCAAACTATGCTCCTTCCCATATGAAAAGGCCAAATTCAGGCTTCCAGTGTCCCACCTAAACCCACAGAGGGAAGAAGGTAGAAAGGAGTGGAATAGTCGCCTCTCAACCCCATAGCTAGAGAAAGACCATTCTGAGTTTGGGTTTGGGAGTGAGGGAATGAAGAACAGAGACAGTATGACACAGTGGCAAACGAGGATATGCAACTTGGCTCCAGGAGGCCTGAGTTCTGGGATCAGTGCACAAACCAGCCAAGGGGCAGGCACATCCTCTGTTGGGGCTTCAGTGTCCTTTTCCAAAGTTGGATTAAGAGCCCTTTTGAGGTGCCTTCCAGCAACTCTAGAGGGGATGTTTTTACAGGCATTCTACTCACTTTGGGCCTCCCCTCTGCCGTTGCACTCATACAGCTATGGCTGGAGCATCTTGAATCTAGAGCCCCTCCCCACCCAGGGCAAACTGCTCAGAAGTAGGGGAGGAGGGCTGGATGTGGGGTGGGAGGGCAGAGGAGGTTTGAAGCAGAAACTAAAAGGTCTACTCTTAATGCCTTCCCCCAAGTCTCTGCCTTGGGTAGGCACCCACCCTGCTCTGAGCAGCAATTCTTGTTGAGCTATGCTACAGATAAAATAAATTAAGACCAAATAATATATATATATATATATATATATATATATATATATATATATATTTTAAAATTGAAACTTGGTAGGAAATTGCTGCTGTTGTAGGCGGGAAGAGTGAGCTCCTTTGACATGACATGAGCTGATGTGTCATACTGTCTTTCCATCTCAATGCAATTTCTAAATAGGGAACCCTCTCCCCAGCCCCTCCTCCCTGTCAAGGCCCCAGCAGATATGTAAAGGGAGCAGTGTGACGCACATAGCTGGATTGTCTGACGTGCAGAGAAAGACAGGGAAGTAGCCCCAAGAACCCACTGCTTTTTGCTAAGTGGATCTGAGTCAAAGGGGCTCTGACCCAACTTTGAGGTCCCCTGACCTCCTCTTTCCACCTCCCTCATCCCCGACTTTCTGAAGCTTTTCTTTTCTCAGATCGGAGAGGAACAGCCAGCAGGCATACTGTCCAGAGATTAACCTGTGCTCTTCCCTGGGGCAAGTCCCCAGAAGTTGCTAAGAAAGGATTTATCTCATTAAATCCTTATGACAATGTTGAGAGGTAGAATTGGAAAATGAGGAAATTAATTGACAGGTCCCTGGCCATATAAGCTAGGAGGTGGCAGAGAACCAGAACCCAGGCCTCTGACCACACATCAGTGTCCTTTCCTTCTCCATGCTGGGGGAGAGGAGCTGGGCTGTGAAAAATTCATCTTTTCTTTTAAAAAGGTTATAATATTTTAAACTTGGCTTTGTAAGAAATAAACCAATATTTGGAAATAAATTATAGAACAGTGAAAGATTGATTCCTGTGTCTCTTTACAAAGCTGTTGGCAAGCTGAACTTAGCCTTTCTGATTGTCTCTTGGATGCCCTGGCTGATCTAAAAGAAAATCAGTGTCATTGATAAAACACAGGCTCAGCACTTGTGTGGTTGCTTCACTCTTGACAGAGCCAGGCCTCCTCAGAGGGCAGCATGGGGAGTTTCTGCTCCACCTGGATTGTGTCTTGTTCTCAGAGCACAGCTTCCAGGAAAGGGCCAAGCCAAGATTTTCTCAGATCAGGCCCCCAGTGACTGGAATTCTCCCCAAGTAGCCTGGAGAGAGAGAGCAATCTCGGGTCTCTGGCTGTTCTACTAATGAAAGGAAACCAGATAAAATGCCAAAACTAATTAAAGTGACAAATTCGAAAAGGCTCTGCCAAAGCTAGGAGGTCTTAATCCTTGATGTCAACAGACTTGAAGTGGGAATCAACCAAGCATGCTTTGAGGTCAGGGCGTGAAGCCCCCTGTGGAGTGGAAGGGCTGGAGCCCTGGAAGGAAGGAATATGTCCACCAAATTTTAGCTTCCATCCATTTGGTGGAAGCTAAAATTCCTTTCCTATTCAGCCCCCCTCAAGACTTATCTTTGTTTCTGCCCTTTGCTGGAGGCTCAGTGACTGGTGTGTATATGTCAGCTCCTGCCTTCACCAACACTGCTGTTTGTATGTTTGTAAATTGTGGTGCAGTTCACACAACACTCGAATGTTATCTTATTTCATTCAACAACCCTAAGAGGTTGATATTATTACGCTCCTCCTACTGGTGAGACCCCAGAGAGGCTAACTGGCTCAGGATTTATAGCTAGCAAGTGGTAGAATCTGAACTCAAGCCCATCTCTTTGTGTCTGTCATTTATTCACTTGATCACTCATTCAGCCTGTATTAAGGTCCTTAAAACCCAGGCCATGGCAGACAGCTGGGACACAGACCTGTACTGTTTCCTGTACACAGTGGCCTTTGACCATCCAGCTGTGCACAGCCCTGAGCTCTGCCGGAGGGCTCTGTCCTGAGGGAGTGCACATAATCACTGTGGAGAGAGGCAGCCTGGAAAATTGATTTAAAATGAGTTCTTTGGCCTCTCGGCTGCATAGTAGCCCAGGACCACACCAACTGTGAAACTGACTCTGTGACAGGTTCTCTCTGGATTTGTCTCTCTTCCTGAATGCCC